ACCCCAGAGCCGGGGGGGAGGCCGTGCCTGGGGTGCGTGGGAGAGGCGCTGGGGTGCTGAGCTGGGAACTGCTGCCCTCTGCCTGTAGGACCCTCCACTGGGCTGCAAAACTGGGGTCCCAGCCCACTCCCACCTTGTCCCTTCCTGAGGAACACCCCAGCCTGCCAGGATGGGGTCTGCTGTTCCTGGGTAAAGAAATCTCTGGTGGTGAATAGGGGAGCAAACCAGCCAAACATGAACGTGTCCTGAAGTCTGGGATTCCCCCCTTTCTCCCCCTCTGGCTCCCACTTTCTGCTGTTAAAGAAGGGAAACGTGGGAAGCCCATGGGCAGTGAGGCAGCTGGGGGGCCGCTCTTGCCAGCCTGGGCTCTGCGGGTCGCGTTGCCCTCTGACAGGGTGTAATTCTGGGCAGGAATTTATTTCATCACTCTCCATCCCTCGCTGCCATCAGCCCTGCAGACAGAGATGGGCTTCCCGGAGCCGGCAGCCCCGTGCTGGGGCAGAGGGCTGGCAGACGCCTGTGCTGTGGCTCTGCCTGGCCAGCCCGATGCCCGGCCCTTAGGCGGATTTACACCTCCTTCTGCAAATTACAGGGTGGGTTTTTTCCCCCCTGAGTTTTTTATTAATATGACAAAATTTGAATTATTCTGATTACTGTGGCTTTTAAACGGCTTCCCCTGGTCCGACACCAGCAGGCGCCGGCAGAGCTGCTGTCGGCAGAGAGGTGCAGAAAGAGGTGCCAGAAAGCGTTTCCTGAAGTTGCGTGTTTTGAGGAACGATTCACCCATCCTAGGAACACGGGACTGTAAATCATGGGAAAGGCCTGGGCTCTTCACGCGCTGTGCTCTCCTGTTTAAGGTTTGCCGGCAGAGAGATGCCAGCGGGTCCTTCCATATGACTGGGAGCAGCCGAGAGCTGGGAAGAGGGTGAGTGTGCTTCCCTGGCATCTCCTCTGCCTGCTTTGGCCACTGCCTTCCCTGGGGGAGTGCAGCCTTTGGCCAGCCCGCAGGCAGCTGCCCGCTTTTGGGCACGTGAGCCTGGCGTCAGCCCGGCCGTCTGCTGACGCCTCCCCGGGATGCTTTAACCCCCATCAGGGCGGCTGCCTCTGCCGCTCTGGCTTACGGGCTGCTGGAGCCCCAGACCTTACGCATGGTACTTTTTGCCCAGTGCTGGATCCCCCTCCGTGCACGCCGCTCCCCTTTCTCCTTTGGCCCCCTGTTCCTAGCGCTACGCAGCTGCAAGGGTTGAGCCTGGTGGGTGATGCTGCGTCCCATCCCACCCTCTTCTTGCAGAGCCGGGCCTTGCGAAGGGGACAGAGGAGCAGCGCTGGGGGCGACGGCGCAGGAAGGACCCTCCAGCGCGGGCACCCACCCAGAGAGGAGAGGGGCTCTCCCTCAGGAGCACTCACGGTCACAGCAGGGCTTCTCCATGCCATCGGTGCTGGAGAGCTGGAGCCAGCTGGGAAAAAGCTCCCGAGCCACTCGCCAAGAGGCAGCGCAGCCCCGGGAAGTGCCTGT